TATATGTTATACCAGGCCTGTGCAACCTACGCGGCGTCATGTAAAATTTGAGGGAAATGCGGCCTGCGAGCAAATGCTTCGTTTGCGCTTGTCACTGTCGGTGTGGCCCGCAAATTGTCGCTGCCTATTTTGATATCGAAACCCATTATATCCGCGCTGTTATATCAAAGTATGACGTCAAAATGAATCTAACCAATCAAATCGTTAACGAGGTCTGACCTCGTGTCAAACAGTGATTTTATGTCAGATAATAATTATGTCTGTTATTTGCAATGCACATTGAAATACGTTATTGAATAAATAACTTGAAAAAATTGCATGTTTCTCATTATTTATTCCATGATTCATTGATGGTTTATTACGTTGCCCACGGCCTATACTCGCATCTTTCAAATGTGGCCCGCCGTTGCGGAAATGTTGCACAGGCCTGTGTTATACTACTCCCGAGTTTTAATGATTTTACACAATGTTTCAACAATTTACATTGTTATCATCAGTTTATATAGTATACTACTCCTTAGTTTTATTACACACGACGTTTCAACAATTTACATTGTTATCATCAGTTTATATGGTATACCACTCCGGGGTTTTATTCACAACGTTTCAACAATTTACATTGTCATCATCAGTTTGTATGTTTTAATTTTCATGGGTGTCATTTTACACAACGTTTCAATAATTTACTTTGCCTTTTGAGATATACTAATCTTGGATATCTTGAGAGTCGTGTCATTTCAACTGTATAAATTTGGATCTTGCTTGGGTTATTTAACCAGTTTTCAGTTACAATCTGGAGACTATTCAATCCTCATCTTCGGAATTCTCTAGCGAATAATCCAATCAAATCACAAGGTTCCGTGATATAAGATAAATGCCTAATGATGGTAAGGTATTAGATAACTTGTGAAAATGATCAGTCATGAAGTAGAGATATATCTTCAGTGTTGGCACCAGTATGGTACAGAGAGGGTAGGGAGGGAAGGAGGGGGGATTACACTAGGGCTACACTGAAAAATGGTTTGTACCCCCGATTGACCCCCCTACTTTATTTCTACTAAATTCAAAATATGATTTTTATACAGTGCTCCAAATCAAATTCTATTTTTTCAACAAAATTTTTTAGAGAATCCTGCCAGATTCTTTATTTGAAATTTCCAATTCCGACGCTTCCATAGAGATTCAGAATTTACCAACGGTTGTCCCACCCTCTGTTAAGTCAGTCTGTCCCTATTTGGACCTCCAGTCTGGCGCCGTCACTGTTTAATTTATTCCTTCTCGTTCTATCGGTATCCTTACAGTGAACCATATCGACAGTTGATTTGATTGAAGCTGTATCGCTGACTCGACTGTTAAGTGTTAAATGAATCGATCTGGTCGATGGGAAGGAATGAATGAACACCAAACTTCCTGTATCCGTATAAAGCCATTCAGTACGCCATTTTTAAAGAGACCTGGAGATGTCTTTCTGTATTTCATTAGCGTATTCGACAACTTACAATGTAGCTTCTATTAGCGATATTATACTAACCTGTCCGAAATTGTTGGTTGTTGTTCGTAGATGTTTATATGACTATATGACACTAGTTAAGTAACAAGATTCGAATCTGTAGGTTTTTGAGAAAGTACTGAAATCGTATGTAGATATAATGACTTGGAAACTTTCAGACTATCGTCCAACTTTATAATTCATTTCTAGAAGAATTGAAAGTGACGTATTAACATTAGCTGTTTCTAATATCCTAACCATACTTATATTGTTGTAAAATTTCAACTGTAGAGCAAGAATCAAATATTGTTTAAACTAATGGACATACGCAACTATGTATGGTTCTTTCATGGAAATAATACACACATGAACATAGTTTACAACCATTTTGAATCTCTTCCTTGACATATAAAGTCCATTTCTAAAACCTTTAAATGTGATTTGAGGGCTTAGCTGGAAGCCAAATCGCTGAAGAAATTCAAAACTACGTTCGTGTGTGTTATTTCCATGAAAGAACCATACGTTTCGTATGAAGTATTCGCAATTAAAAGTTTGGACATGATCAAACACTAATGTACCCGTATTATAATGTTAAATGTGAGGCTTTTGGTCCTTTTGGTATATTTTTATTTATTTATATTTATAGTGAAGTATATCTACTAAATGTACGGAGCTATTAAAAACTTCTGTGATAGATGACAGGTAGCTAATGCAGTTAAGGTATATGACGCAGTTCGTAATAGACTAGCAATGTGGAGATGAAATGGTGTATATTTTCACGCTCGCGTTTCGTTTAGTTTCAGTCAAATGTAAAGAGGCACACGAGAGTACTTGATTTTAACACTAGTTCATTGATATCTTCTTTAGATAACTTCGTACACTGGCTGAGTTTGCATTTGATTAAAATAGTGACCTAGATGTTTCGTTTCGTCATTTTTCTGTGATTGACTCAACTCTGTACGTAATATGACGTTATATATGTAGATTTACGGGTTTAGTCATGGTTTCGAGGAAGTATGACGAATTGTGACGTGGTTTTGACACGATGGTAAATTTATGTAATAAAAATTTGGACATAATATAAGTACGGTTATAGTGCAGATCTTGATTTCGTTTCGTCATTTTTTCTAGGACGTAAAACTCCATTAATTGCATTTCATTTGCCACAATATCGTGATAATTTACATGACATTATACACAGGTAATAAAATTTTGTACAATTGATTTAAAAAGACTAGAAAACACCATAATCCGATTATGCAAACTTGATCAATGATTATTCAAGTGGAAATATCCTCGATTTTACAATTTCCGGTAAACGAATTTAAAAGGCGGGAATTTGGTGACGTAGGCTACTGCAGACCAATTTATAGTTCCGCAGCAACTGCAAACAATTGAAAAGACTGGCTAATATTTTCTGCACGATTACAAAAGATAATTTCCAGCAATCTTTTAAATATGTTTACAAGTGTTCTAATTTCCTATTTCGTGATGATTTCTAGTATTTTAGTCGATTTATTTCATTATTTAGACGCTTTTATAGCCCGGATCTAAAAACTTATTTTATGAATTATCTGAGCTGGTCGCTTTGTGTTAGAGTTACGTGGTATGGGATTATCTTATAGGATAATTTAATACTCGTTTTCATTATGAGGGCGGAATATTTTAAACAGAAATTATTCCGATGTTAGTGTATTTGTTGATAATACTTTCCTTTGAAGATAATTGTATAAAATACGATATGAAATTTCCATATATGGTATTGTGAACAATAACTGTATGATCATCTTTGTTGTGGTCTAAAGATTTCAGGCGGAATAGTTTTAGAATTGATATCATCTTTTTTCAAGTAACAATGGTTGCACTCGACTTCACAATTTTTAGGGATTTTGGATGTGTAATATTTGGTGTCTTGAAGGTACATCACGTCTGGAGATTCTGCCTTTACGTTACTGGTGCCATCTTTCTGTAACCAGACTGACAACTGTTCAATGTTTTTGACAATGTTCTGAAGTTTTGAGGGATTCTTAAAATATATGTTAATGTTTTGTTAGTTCACCAGAATTAATGTTTTTAATATGTAACGTTTGTTTTCAGTTTACTTTCCATTCAGATTAGTCGTTTTTTATTTAATTCTTCTGTTGCATTCAATTTTGATTCTGTATTAACTACTAGAATCATGTACTCGCTTTTAATCTATATTCCAAAACAATAGTTCTATAAAGGTCGTCTTTAATTTAACTTCTTTTAACCTAGTATATTTCAGTCTCGGCTTTTCTTTGAGGATATTTTCGACTCTGTATTTATTTATGTTTTTTTTTTGTAATTGTAGGAATGTGTCCTAGAGCCATGTATAGAAAAATCTGGATCCGTTATGAACAACTTTCATACAAAATGATGGTGTTGGTGGAATTACATGTATAAACAGGACTGTCGAGTACCTGATTCAGATATTGAGTTATGTAGAAAGAAACTGATCGCGAAATCAAACGGTATTAAAACTGATCCATAAATTTGGATACATAGCTACAATTAGACTGATCCATAATTAAAGCTTAAAAACTGTACGAGTTTCTAACTGATTCCGAAATTAGTCTGCTCAAATTTGATACAGACAATAAGCTATATAAGAACTGATATAGAAATTGGTCTGCTTCAAAAATTAGAGAATTTGACGCATGTAAAGATACATATAGAAATTGGACAAAATAGAAACAAACTGTGACAAAAAGTGAATTATTCAGACAAGATGATTAAAAAAGAACTACCGTGATACGTTCGTTGTTTGGTCAAAGGATATTGTCGATTTCCGAGTCGACTGTGTTGGATTAATATAATAGAATCATGTTTATCTCTTTGGATGTGACAAATGCCTGTGTCTTATTGTATTGAAGGTTAACTGTGCCATTAAATCATTAAAAAAGTCTCTTGTGTTCGGCAATTGGTCGAATTAATATTCTCACCAGGAGATTCAAGTTTCAGATTCATATGATGCCTGCCTAAAACTTGGATGTGAATACATATAGTATAATACGGTTTCACAATTAGAAATATTTCTATGTGGCAAAAACGAGGAATAATTACTGAACACCGTGTGAGGTATTTGATTCTTGTATAAAGAGTATTCAGGATTATTTTCGTCGTATTCAGAAAACCTAATAAAACACGTTCTGTTTTAATGATCTAAAGTGTTAGAAATATTCGATTCATGTATGAATAACACGTGACATACGTCATATCCGATTCCCATATCATCCAAGGGATATAACTAAGGTGTCCTCAAACTAAAACAATGAATGGACGACCCAAAAATACGCGTCGTAGACCACAAGTGCCCAAAGAAAAGAAAAAGAAGAAAAAAAAGTCGAAGTGTAGTTGCTGTTGCGCTGATAAAGTCGCTGACACAGACGTTGATGCTGAATCGGAATCTCCCCCACCCCCATCATCACCGTCATTTGAATTCGACGAGGAGGAAGAAGTCACAATTTGTTGTTGCTGTTGTAAGAAAAAAAGAAAACGAAAGAATAATGAGGAATCGAAGTGCGGCAAGTGTTGCCGAAAATTAACAACTTTTATGTTTTCTCATATTGGATTATGTTCTCTGGTTGTGGCTTACTCAGTGTTAGGTGGATACGCTTTTATGTTATTGGAATCACCACACGAGGTGGTTGAACGTAACAATGTGGCTCAGATGCGACAAGAACAAGTGAAAAAACTGTGGAACTTGACAAAAGAGTTGAATATATTCTATGAAAGGAATTGGACTATTTTAGCTGAGGAAGTCTTTTTATCGTTTCAAGATGAGGTGTTTATAGCGACTAAAGAGAAAGGTTGGGATGGAAAGGATGGCGATGGTGAACTACAGTGGTCGTTTGCAGGTGCCCTTTTATACTCCGTTACAGTCATTACTACTATAGGTAAGGTAGATTTAGTATTATATAGTAATAAGTACACTAGTAAGTATTTCGTTCCGTCAACTGAAGTATGCAGGCATCATTTGCGGACAATGACTTTAATCTTGATATGACACAATTTGCTAGGGATCTCGAACAAACGGTGGTCGTGAAAGTAATCTTCACTCATAATTCCGGTCTATACCCAGTTGTTAATAGGTACAGATAATCCGAGAAAGGTTACTGCCAAGAGCTTTGGACCAGCTGGTAGGAAGAATCTTTAAAAACCTAAGTTGTTATCCTTGTAAAATGTAGTCGTTTCTCCTCACCATCTTAGTCGACTAAAGCAAAGCAAGATAAATATTGAACTTGATGTCTTTGCTCGGCAACTATAATCTTTCATCACTCTAACCGTTAAGTACAGTTATATTAGCTCCATGCTATTAAACATGCGGTTAGTCAGTTAGTCAAGTCTGTGTGCATGTCAAAAATGAGAAAATCACAAAGCAATTAGTATCTGAAGACAAGAGTAAACAGCGGATAATTTCTCACTAATAGATTCATGTTTACCCACTCTGTGTTTTACAACCCTCTTAATTATAACAACTTTTAAAACAATATGGTCTGACATTTCACTTGTTTTATTTTAAATCGCATAGCTTAAAATCTTTTATGCAAAAGCAATAAATTCGAACATTCGCCGTGCATGATAATGTCCCGATTAATGATAAACAAATTATTATTTTATGCATGGAAGAAGAAGATTTAATTGTTTTGTGACAAGTTTAAATGAGGTTTGACTGAGGTAAATATGACGTGTAAATGACGTGATAATGATGTTAAATCATGTGATAACATAATATTGCGTATGACGTGTAAATGACGTTTGACGTGAAATTAATGTAATGACGTGTAAATGACGTTTGACGTGAAATTAATGTAATGATGTGTAAATGATTAATGTTATGACGTGTAAATGATTAATGTTATGACGTGAAATTAATGTTATGACGTGTAAACGACGTTTGACGTGAAATTAATGTTATGACGTGTAAATGACGTTTGACGTAAAATTAATGTAATGATGTGTAAATGACGTTTGACTTGAAATTAATGTAATGACGTGTAAATGACGTTTGACGTGAAATTAATGTAATGATGTGTAAATGACGTTTGACTCGAAATTAATGTAATGACATGAAATTCATGTGATGACGTGTAAATTTTCGAAGGCCATTTACATGACGCTATACGTTATAAGACCGACCTCATGGTCGTTTTTCAATGTAACAGTGTAAGCAATGTTCAAGATTATGTTTCTATTTGAGTCAGCAGACCCGATAAAACTAAATGCTGATAATTAAACGGTTTTATATCCTTATTTTCATCCTCAATTCTTTGCGTCTATGGTCTTCGATCGGTTTAGATTATTTACATAGAAAACTAATTGAATAATATTGAATTAAACGAAGTGACTTTCAAATAATGCAATTAAGTCGTTTTAGACTGAATCGAACGAACTGGGTTCAATAAAAATAATTGTTTTGTTGTTTAGGGTTCTCAAAGGAATTTATAAATGGCAATTTAACTTGATATAACAGAATTTCAACTATTAGTAGAGTCACTAATTATATTTTATTTATTTATTCCTCTAATCCCTAGTTAAACCCAGCAAATAAAGTTTAATAGACTGGAGGAGGCACGAACTCACCTTGTTGAAGCCACATCACTTGAAAGACTTCCATATTGGTTAGCCTGAAACTGTCATAAAAGCTCCTGGGTCCCAGCAAAGTGAAATTTATGCCGACTGAAATTGACAGATTTCTTTATAACGAGCTGCCTGTTCATTATTTCTGTTATATATAGAACCTGTAGACCATCCACCACAATCACAGCCTCTGTCTCTTGCAACTTGTTAGATTAACAGATTAATCTTCAAGTCCGAATACTTGAAATAAAGCAATAAAAACTAAATCAAACAAAACAGGTTTTTAAATATTAACCGGAAGTGACGCCTGATTGGTATTTGAATCGATGAAAATATGAGAATATAAAATGGCGTGCCTAAGACATAAATACAAGTATTAAATTCTCAGTAATAAAACTTAGTTGACTCTACATCTAAGTGGGCTTTAATTGATAAATATGGTGAAAAATCAATTCACGAGACTTTAATCTTGCTGATAATCAATGGCGGATGAATAACTTCCGGTCTATAATAGCTTTCATTAAACAAGTTATCGTTTAAAATAGTGTTTATCGCCTCTTAGCGTTTTTAGAGCTCTTTATTCAAGTTATAGAAGGGAAATATAAGTCTGTAGCCTGTATCCTTAGTCTTATCGGGGATCCATTTTACATGAGCTGAAACCTACAGTTTGATCCTTTTAGCTGAGTTAGAGTGCCATTTTTAAACTAAACTTAAAAGATTGTAGCAATTGAACCTCAATAACCCCTGTATAACCCTTAAAAATAATAGACATTCTAGAATACTGGCCACGTATTCTCGAAACGATCTTAGCGCTGGGATGTTCTTGGATCTTATCTTCTAACATTGATTCTAGGACATCCTAGGTTCTTATCTTCTAACATTGATTTTAGGACATCCTAGGTTCTTATCTTCTAACATTGATTTTAGGACATCCTAGGTTCTTATCTTCTAACATTGATTTTTAGGACATCCTAGGTTCTTATCTTCTAACATTGTTTCTAGGACACCCTAGGTTCTTATCTTCTAACATTGATTCTAGGATATCCTAGGTTCTTATCTCCTAACATTGTTTCTAGGACATCCTAGGTTCTTATCTTCTAACATTGTTTCTAGGACATCCTAGGTTCTTATCTTCTAACATTGATTTTAGGACATCCTAGGTTTTTATCTTCTAACATTGATTCTAGGATATCCTAGGTTCTTATCTTCTAACATTGATTCTAGGATATCCTAGTGTCTTATATTCTAACATTGATTCTAGGATATCCTTGCGCTAAGATCGTTTCGAGAATACGTGGCCTGGACTATAATAACTAAATCTACGCCAATATAGGCATATTACGATATAATATACAAAACCATTAAAATTGAAATAAAACAAATTAATTGAATTAAATAAATTTGGATTGTATTATCTCCAGACGATTTTCATGAGTCAGATGTGTGCATATGATTTATTTTGAGTCTGGATGGTTTATAAAAATTAGATTATAGTCAAAGAGGTTTTTGTCCCTTCCCGCCCTGTGCGACGTGACAGTGAGATGAACCCTTTTGGAATATCCTAATGGTAATATTGCACTTTCTGATGTGTCACAGGCTAACTGCAATATATACAACATCTCATAGGACAACACTATACACGGCCTCGGCTAACATTCTTACTGATTACTGTTGGTATTGGAGGACAAAAACAGGTTGACAACCACCGATCTAGACTAATATCAGAAAGGAAGAAGGAAATGTAACAAACAAACAATTTTTACAAGGATAACAGCTTAGAATCACCATTATCTTTTCTAATTCTTGTCCGTGGTCATACCTCATGTCATTGATCTGGGGACTATCTGTACCCATTTACAGAAGGGTTGACATGATTGCTTGTGGTGCTCTAATCAATTGATCACGAGACTGGGGTGCTGAAATCCTGAGAATAATTCTGTAATTGAGGTCCTACAAATAAAGTTTAAACTCAACTAAATTACGACGATGTCATATAATGTATTATTCAGTTTGTATTATGTTTAGTTTACTTCTGCAACTTTTGTTAGGATAACAACAATATCGTACTTTCTGATTTCTGCCGTGGGCGTCTGTTATCCTTCCTAGCAAGCTATATTTTTTTATTTCATAATTGTCTCTATATCACTAGGAAGTTTATTTAAATTTTCGATTTTAGAACTTATATCAACAAATCGTTGTGACGGTTACATCAATTATCTGTTTTTGTGAAAGGTTAATCATTAGATAAGATTATTTTCAATATTTTTAACGAGTTGAAAGAAAACCTTGAAATTATAATCAATATTCCAAGGCATCTTCTCGGAGTAGAAAATCTTCACAATATCAAGATATTACTAACTCAGCTGCGACAATACCTTGGTATCGTTAAGCACATATCTAGTATTTAAATGCAGCGATTTGATTGGATGGTACTCTACCGATTACAGCCAACCAAAGCCCTTGACTTAAACAAGCCGGTGAAAAATAAGAAATAATGTTTTCCTTCTGTTGAGGGCTCCGATTGGCTATTCGGTACCATCCAATCAAATCGCTGCAATTACAAACTCTCGTGATACAAGAATAGTGGCTTCTCTAGTGCCCTATCCAATCAAATCACAAACTTGTGGGATACAAGAAAGGTGCTTAATGATGCCAAGGTATCAGACACAGTTCGTAATAACTTGATATTGTGAAGATAAGAATTACACAATAGTTTCCGATATCTCAGACCTTCAGGCGATTGAAAACAGATATGACATGGCGAGAGAATTAAACCCAAAGAGCTGGAAATGATAGCACACGAAGTACATCGATTAACTTGTTAAGTCTATAACGAAGACAATTGACTGGAAATGACATTCAATGGAGTTTTACGTCGTAATGCACTTCACTCCATTTCACTGCAATTAATTGACGTACCGTAATCGACCAGAGAAAAGAATTTAAATAAAATACACTAACTAATCAACTCGAAATTGTTTAAATTAGCTTGTTAAATCAATTTGTACCAATCCAACTTTCAGTCAGACGCCTGTGGTTCCTGCAATCCCACTAAAACTAAGTGTTGGGTGACGTCACAAATCGCCAGATATGTTTATCACATGAGGCCTTTCGCGATTAACGACGTCATTTAGTTTTAGTTGAATTGCAGGAACCACAAACGTCTGATTGAAAATTGGAATGATGCAAATTGATGTTATGAGTGTTTCCGATACACATAAAAAAAAATATAGAAAACTTCTTTACAATATCTTTAAGTATACAATAACGACAATTAATATTAAATACTATTTAATGAAGTTTTACGTCTACAGTTCACCTCATTGTACTGTATCTAAAAAAAACATAATTAACCCGAGATCGTAATTTACATTAAATACGGTAACTGATCAATTTGAAACGTTGAAAATAACTGAATTGTATTGAGCCTAATGAAGCAATAGAACTTGTGTATAACTGTATAACTATAGAAGAGACATTGAGTAAACGTTATTGTTATTAACGGACTTTAAATTTTTACTATTAATACAAAATATACTGTTCTTCTGAAACTTAAACGATTTTCTGCTTCTCGGCTTTTTCTATCAAATTCTGATTTTAATTCTAAAGAAATAGTGTCCTCCATTTCTAAATAAACCGGAAATTCACATAGTCACGAAAACCAAGCACGTTACCTCCTCAAAATTACACGTGACAAATGTTTATTAAGCTGGGCGGGATCGAGTGAGACGTAGTAAGATTCCAAATGGATCAAGGACCCCACAACTCAACAATTCCTTTTGAAAAACATTTTGATGTCCATTCGAGTTGATTGAAAAATATACAACTTTAAATCCGTTGAGAAAATTGAGTTTAGGCAGAATGGGGGTTGTGAAGAGAAATCAGTTGATTATTTGGTTTGGGGACAACGAAACCCGTTAGTTCGAGGGCCCATAGCTGCCTAGTCTATCTGTGGTATTAAGTTAACCTGTCTCTGAAGGTAGTTTAAAGAAATGAAGTATGATAATTAGATTGTTGTACTAATAAAACCACTGTGTAGATGTTAATCTAATATGTCTAATTCTGTCGTTTATCTTTCTTATTGAATCCGTTAAATAGCCACCAGGGATTTTCTACCAGACGTTCAAATGTTGAACCCGGGACACCTGTTTTCGCTTTTTGACTTTATCAAACAAAATAACTACTCTATTTTTCACTTTTCTAATTCAATGCATAAAAATATAATTTCTGTTCCGTTTTTGTATCGCCTGGGACGCCCGATTCCGGTTACTGAACTTGTGAATTTAAAAAACTACCGTACCTTATTTCGGCTGTTTTCGGGGCGGAATGGGACAGGGGCGATAAGGGGCAGATGCAAAATAGTAATGGGGGGAAAAAGGAAAGGGTGGAATGGTAATAGATTGGGGACCAGTGGTTCATCTAGATGAATGGGGCTCGTGGACCTTAGTGGATTGGGCCCCCTGCCCATGGAATTTAACATATACTCTCCTGCAATCTGAGACCCACCTGTAAGTCAATTTACAGTCCAATTAGAATTAAACCAATCTTCCGTTCCGCTTTTAATAGTATTTTTATAGCCACTTCATTTAAATCAAAAATAAAACCTGGGGTGTGGGCCCATGGACTTGGTTCAACCAGCCAATTTGGTAGTTGAGCCACTGTATTTGCATACCAAAAAACTGACAAGGTCATTGGGTTGTCTAAGATAATGAGGAAAACTGACTATCAGACGCTAACCGAGATCAGAACCCACGACCAACATTACCCGCATACCCAATCAAGTGTCGTCATGTAAAGTTTCCACAACTTTAAAGGAACCGTTGCACCTTTTTGGGGTTTGATTTTAGTCTTGACTATTTAAATAGTCTTCAGAAGTACTAGAAATAAACAAAAATTGCATAATTCCTTAAAGAATAATTGAAACTTGGAATTTTACTCACTATTTCTATAGATGTCTGCTCTATGTATCACAGAACATCTTAAAATGACGAGTCTTCAAACGCGGATAATTCTGAACGCGCATGGATTTGAAGGCTTAAATTTTGACGATGAGCTATAAACACTATCTTAGATTGGCTTTGCTAAAAATTTCCGTTTCTGAGACTAAAGTATGATTGGTAAAAATAAAATTGCGCATCTATCCCTTTAATCAAGTGTGTTACAGACGCCTTCAATACCTAATGTACTGATTCCTTTAAAGCAATAAAATCACCGTTATTAATTTGAGATATTTCAGAATAATGGCAATCGGTAATATGATATGATAAAGATATGATATACTTTGATCAATAATGTGTTATAGAGATATTAGAAATGCATTAGCTGCACACGATGCATGTAAATAAATGTACCATGTGTTGAATGTTTATGACTGTGTAGTCGATATTAATTCTGTATCTATAGAAATAAGAATAATAATAATACTGATAACAATAATAAAAATAGTAACAGTACTAATAATAATAATAATAATAATAGTAATAATAATAATAATAATAATAATAATAGTAATAATAATAATAATAATGATAATAATAATAATAATAATAATAATAATGATAATAATAATAATAGTAATAATAATAATGATAATAATAATAATAATGATAATAATAATAATGATAATGATAATAATAATAATAATAATAATAATGATAATAATAATGATAATAATAATAATAATAATGATAATAATAATAATGAAAATAATAACAATAATAATAATAATAATAAAAACAAGTGTAAAAAATAATTACAATTTTGATCTGTAAAACAAGATAAGCTATCAATTAAAGATGAGTTTCCTTATTCTCATTTAATGTGGACTCTTTTTCTGAAATAAGGTCATAAAATTGCCCCAGCATAAGATGTATACCTTCATATATAATGTCGTTCAAATCTTATGTGTGTTAACCTTTTTAGTTACGTAATTCGGTACTTTTTTTCTGGGGTGGAGCCTATGGGCTTGACACAATCAGCCTCTACAATAGTGGAGCCACTGTTTGGGAAGAATGGGGCAATTTACTCCCTTATCATTGTAATTCAAAATGAGCAATTGAACTAATTCAATAATTTGATTGAAATTTGATAAAGCGTCTGATAGATATTGAATCGATATTTAAAAAGTGTTTCGTTGTTAAAGTCAAATTTGAAAATATACAAATTATGAAAAAAATCCAATATTTCACAAGATTAAGTGATTAAAATTGTCTATTGTGTGTGTTTCTAATTATGTTTCATTTTAAATTATTTTCGTCACGTTTGTAATCTTGTATATATTTAAATTGTATGACGAATGGTGAGGAGATAATCATTTTCTTAAACGATCATCGACATTAGTCTATTTATGTCCATAGAGCCATAGAGCTAAAGTCGCAGATCGCGGTAAGCACAGGGACAGGTCGCAGATTGCGGCAAGCACAGGGACAGGTCGCAGATTGCGGTAAGCACAGGGACATGTCGCAGATCGCGGTAAGCACAGGGACAGGTCGCAGATTGCGGTAAGCACAGGAACAGGTCGCATATCGCGGTAAGCATAGGGACAGGTCGCAGATTGCGGTAAGCACAGGGACAGGTCGCAGATTGCGGTAAGCACAGGGACAGGTCGCAGATCGCGGTAAGCACAGGGACAGGTCGCAGATTGCGGTAAGCATACAGGAACAGGTCGCAGGTCGTGGAGGCACAGGGACAGGTCGCAGATTGCGGTAAGCACAGGGACAGGTCGCAGATTGCGGTAAGCATACAGGATCATGTCGCAGGTCGTGGAAACACAGGGACAGGTCGCAGATTGCGGTAAGCACAGGGACAGGTCGCAGATTGCTGTAAGCATACAGGGACAGGTTGCAGATTGCGGTAAGCATACAGGAACAGGTCGTGGTAGCACAGGGACAGGTCGCAGATTGCGGTAAGCACAGGGACAGGTCGCAGATTGCGGTAAGCATACAGGAACAGGTCGCAGGTCGTGGAGGCACAGGGACAGGTCGCAGATCGCATTAAGCAAATTGACAAGTCGCAGATCGTGGTGGGTACATAACTAATGCCTTCTAAAAATCCTAGGCGCTCGTTTGCACCCCCCCCCCCCCACCCTCCCCTTTCTCCTGTTAATGGATCCTGGCTAGGTCACTGCTTACTATCGTTATTTTTCATTACAGGTTATGGTCACATAGCTCCTAAAACCTTCTATGGACGACTGGTAACAATCTTCTACGCCTTGGTCGGAATACCATTAACTTTACTGTGTCTGGCCAACATGGGAAGCTTCCTCAGCACTTGCTTTCGGTGTTTGTATAAACATAGCTGTAACTGTCTTCTGTGGTTGTGTTGTCCGCAGCATTCGCGTAAAGCCGACAAACAAAAGCCAAAGGCAAAGCCGCGAACCAAGTTTACCAAAAGAAACGAGCCTCCTACACCGGAAGAGGATCCATTACGCGGGAAAACTGACGAGAGCAATGACGTCATAGTGACTATTGAAACTGACTGGCGAAAAGTAGTGACTAAAGATGAACCGGTGCGCGTGCCGATCTTCGTCAGTTTACTAATTATAGCATTGTACATTTTTGGCGGTGCTGTGATATTTTCACTATGGGAGGAGAAATGGGACTATTTGATTGGTTCATATTTCTGTTTCGTTACCTTGACAACAATAGGATTTGGTGATTTTGTTCCTGGATCAAGCAGTGCCACGTGGGGAAATAAAGAAAAGAACATTTTCTGTGTATTTTACCTAGTATTTGGACTATCTTTGATCGCCATGTGTTTCAACTTAATGCAGGAAGAGGTTCGAGCTAAATTTCGTTGGTTAGGAAGAAAATTCGGAGTTCTCGACGAGAAGTCGTGATTATAGAACCAAATCGTAGCCCTTATGACCATTTACATATCGACTGTCTTAAGTCTATTTGCCTTCGTAGATTAGAGACATTTTGAAATGTTAAACATATTTGTGATGAAACCGGTTAAAGATTTATAGACGTGAACAATGAAAAGATAGAAACAACCATTTTTTACAAGAATATCAAGGTCGGGAATAATGAAGAGAGAAGACTTCAACACCATCAAACTTTTACACGCCGACCGAAATTAGATCCCTCGACCACCATTTGTTAATAATCCCGCACCAGACATCGTACCTCGTTACTAGTAACACATTCAAAAAACGTTTAATTTTAAAATTGGCCATTAACAAACCAGTTATGTTGGTAAAAACAGTGAATTTATCAAATGATCTACTGTGAAAGTTCTGCTAGCGAGTATACAACGTATTCGTATTATGCTCTACGGAGACTGCCGAGGATTGCCGAACGTTAATTTACGTGTGAATACCCGAATTAACCGGTTAAATTTGTTGATATTTTCTAGAATTTTATAGTTATTTTTGTTTGTTAATAATCATATCGAACCTCATAGATACATCGGCGCCACATTGTACAGAATTTGTGCTTTGAGTTTTTTTGTTTTTTGGGGTTTTTTTTTCAATTCAATACTCCCGTTTAGAAATCCTTAACAGAACCATACAATCTGACTAAAGTACAGATAAGTTTCGTTTCTTGTTATTACTGTGAGTGACTCCACTTGTCATCTATTAGTGTAGTAGCCTGCAGAAAAAAATCACGAAATAAAATATTAAGATCTGCATTTATGTAAGATTGTATATCACAATTTTAGAGGAATCGTTTCGAGATATTCTCCCGAGATGATACTCTTAGACACCACAGTTAACACAGGACGTAGGAAGCGTATTCCCTCATCGATCCCCAAAATGGCTCACTTCTAATGCACGATTTACAAAGTTAGCAGTTTTAAATTTGCCTAGACTAGAATCTGTTAAATATATTGAAGCGTCTTTGAGCATGCTAGAATGACCCCCTGCACTCAAGAAAATAATTCTGCGCAGAAAGTAGCTCGACAAATCTGACCCTAACCGTTCCACAGTCGTGATGTGATATATATCGTAACTGTAACGATATCAGTATATCATGTCCGAAGAACGGATAGGGTCAAATCCGTCGGATTATTCAGAGAGCAATGATACATCCATGTTCCTTTAACAACGGTACGATGATAATTCACATGTAACCGTTGCTAAAGGAACACGTGATATATCTCGCTCTTCAGTAACTAATCCTCTCATTTCGTGCAATACTTGATATTAAAATTGATTTTGTTATTTTAGATTGTTACATAATATATAGATTCATTAAAATTTGTTAACCCTTAACCGTGTGTATTGGTATCTGTACAGTTGAAGCAAGTCGAGCAACGGAATTGTACAAAGTGCCCACCCATGGACGATTCACCCCATTTACGCACGCAGTTAAAATCAATAGTCTTTGGAACACAATCAGTACTTTTTAAAATATAGTTTGTTTTGTTTTGTTTAATCGTATCTGGACGTCCACAAATATTTTATGAAAGACTTTTTATGAGCATAGGAGCCATTGTGATTTGTATTTGTTCTTATGACAAGATTAGAGGCCGTAAAGATAGTGGAATCATAAAACGCTAAGGTTTTAATTGGATTGCAAGAACCATAGACTGGAATGGGGCATATCTTCACTATCAGTATCTCCAATTCCCAGAAAAAGTAAGGAAAAACTTCTTACAAACCCTTTTACAAGAAGATCTGATACATATTATATTACAGCAGTGGTTCCCAACCTATTTCTGCCTTCACACTCCAGGAACAATCATGTGAATCTTTGAAACACCCAAAAATTTGTTTCATCCACATTTTTAGCATGTGAGGATGAGAGGTGCTCTCTCAATTCAAAATATATTCTTCTACCCCAGTTGACATCCTAGTCCCACACCCCCAAGAGGTGAAAACACCCCAGGCTGGGTATCAGGGTATTACAGCAAGCTGTGCGTGCGACTTCCAGCAGAGATTTCATAGAACTGATATTTCGTGACTAGATGCATCATTAAAAAAATATCTATATGAATCTTATACATGCATGCAATCACTCTGATTAAATAGTAAAATACATATAGATATTTCGTCTGGTTATTTTTCTAAAGTTTCTAAAGCATCACGCATACCATGATCTGTCATTATACAAGACAATGGACATGAAAGAATTGCTTAGTAATGATGCAGCTTGTGCATATAGAGAAGAAAAGAAAGGAATATAAAGAGCTGTGTTTTGATAAAGGCCCCACATCATACTGATCACCAGCTGCGTATAGTTGCGAATAAGAATAGCGTTTTTTCTTAAGTTTCAAACGAACTCTCAGGCAACAAGGCTGTGAATTGTGTTCGTCCCAAAGAGGATTCTCTGTTGTTGATGTTTACATCTTGAACGCACCAACCGTTCACACCCACCGTGTAGTCTTCAATGATTCAGATGATTGCTTTCACATAACCAACATATACCTACGCAAAATCTCAAATCAGATATTTAACCATCTTCACAATGTCAAGCTATTACAAACTTCATCTTCACAATGTCAAGCTATTACAAACTTCATCTTCACAATGTCAAGCTATTACAAACTTCATCTTCACAATGTCAAGCTATTACAAACTTCATCTTCACAATGTCAAGCTATTACAAACTTCATCTTCACAATGTCAAGCTATTACAAACTTCATCTTCACAATGTCAAGCTCTTACTAACTTCATCTTATAATGTCAAGCTATTACAAACCTCATCTTCACAATGTCAAGCTATTACAAACTTTATCTTATAATGTCAAGCTATTACATACTTCATCTTCACAATGTCAAGCTATTACAAACTTCATCTTCACAATGTCAAGCTATTACAAACTTCATCTTCACAATGTCAAGCTATTACAAACTTCATCTTCACAATGTCAAGCTATTACAAACTTCATCTTCACAATGTCAAGCTATTACAAACTTCATCTTCACAATGTCAAGCTATTACAAACTTCATCTTCACAATGTCAAGCTCTTACAAACTTCATCTTATGATGTCAAGCTATTACAAACCTCATCTTCACAATGTCAAGCTATTACAAACCTCCTCTTCACAATGTCAAGCTATTACAAACCTCATCTTCACAATGTCAAGCTATTACAAACTCCATCTTCACAATGTCAAGCTATTAAGAACTTCATCTTATAATGTCAAGCTATTAAAAACCTCATCTTCACAATGTCAAACTATTACAAACTTCATCTTATACTTGACTGTAATATCGACCTTTATTGTATCATGGAATTCAATTTGATTGGAAAATACAGCCAATCAGAGCAATTGACATAAAGGCTCTGATTGGCTGTATTCGCTTACGTACAATCCAACTAAATATCTACATTTACAAACGTCTGTGTTACAAGAAGATGGTAGTCTGTGTATAAGACTTGACAAGCTTGATATTGTGAAGATGAAGTTTGTAATAGCTTGATATTGTGAAGATGAAGTTAGTAATAGCTTGACATTGTGAAGATGAAGTTTGTAATAGCTTGACATTGTGAAGATGAGAAGATGAAGTTTGTAATAGCTTGACATTGTGAAGATGAAGTTTGTAATAGCTTGATATTGTGAAGATGAAGTTTGTAATAGCTTGACATTGTGAAGATGAAGTTTGTAATAGCTTGACATTGTGAAGATGAAGTTTGTAATAGCTTGATATTGTGAAGATGAAGTTTGTAATAGCTTGATATTGTGAAGATGAAGTTAGTAATAGCTTGACATTGTGAAGATGAAGTTTGTAATAGCTTGACATTGTGAAGATGAGAAGATGAAGTTTGTAATAGCTTGACATTGTGAATATGAAGTTTGTAATAGCTTGATATTGTGAAGATGAAGTTAGTAATAGCTTGACATTGTGAAGATGAAGTTTGTAATAGCTTGACATTGTGAAGATGAGAAGATGAAGTTTGTAATAGCTTGACATAGTGAAGATGAAGTTTGTAATAGCTTGACATTGTGAAGATCAAATTTTTAATAGCTTGACATTGTGAAGATGCACTCGTCCAAGCTGGATTCTCTAATGTCAGACAACAGGTCGTTTGGATTAATTTCATACACTGCAGTACAATAACTCTAGTATCATGCAATCCGTGTCTGATCTGTAACAGCTATCAAGTTAGCAGAGTAATGACAATCACTGACAGTAATATGCATTATTGATACTGAATCGACATGATTCTAAAAAAAAACCTTTCAAAAACAATGTAGAGTCAATTTTAAATATCCAATTCACAGAAAGCCTCAGGAGAGTTCAGATTCATTCTTTCTGTAGGCGATAAACGCTCTGTGACGTTTCTGCTTTGGGAGGGATGTGGGGCGGGGCAGAAAAGATGCTGGCTCAGCTTCCCCCTCTCCCCTTTTTTCAAATTTTTTTTAACATTCTACATAGTGGAAGGATGGTCTGTGTAGGAATTCTTGTTGCCCCTGTTAGGCCCCCTCATCTAATTTTTCCCAGAAACGCTTGAAAGAGGGACTGACATGGAGAAAGCGTCTTGTCTTTCGGATGGGACAACAAATTTTGAATAGCGGATCGTCGTGATAAATTTGAATATAGGATAATCATAGGAAACATTGGATTACAAAAGGTGTTGATTTTGATTCGTAAAACTCCGGGTTGATAACGCTTGAACACTTCTCAGCAGAAATCATCCCAAATGTTGGTTTTCCTGAGCTGCACTGAGCACCATAATCGTTGCCTTCTTGACAGCGATATCAACATTGGACACTATTTGGACGGAGGAAAACAAAAAAGCTAAACGTCGAATCTCTGATTCTAATCTACAATGTACTCAGCGCCACCGGTTGACCCGGTGCCCCGATATTAACAACAAGAGGGTTAAAGATCGGGTAGCAATCTCAGAATGATTCTAATCT